GCTTTTCCTCAAAAGTTTCCGACTGAAAAGTTTCAGAAATATCAATATTGTTTATACAATATTCTATGTCATTAAGTTAGTTTAATAAGAGATTTCTGCAAGCTGCTTTCAAGGATGGGTCTTGGACAAGGAGCCTGGAGACTGACACACACAGTGACATAATCTCAGCATAGACCTTGTGCTGTCTTTGAAGAGTTTTCATATCCTTACCTTATGCAGTCACACCTGATGACTTCGCCTGCCTTGTCTTCTTGCTAAAGGATGTGTGCATACTGGAAATACATCCTAGTATCTTAAATACTAGTAGCTAGAACTGAGAAATTCACTACTGCTACTTTGGAGGGGTGGGGAATAGAGCTTTTTCAGGTGCTTTCATAATTTGATAAGAGGACTTTAGATTTCTTTCTGTCATAAATCCAGGTGCCAGGCATTTTGTATTTCAACCGTATTGAGTTGCTAATGACTATCTGCAATCAAAGCACTTGTGGATGTCTCACAATCTTTTACTTTTTTTTTTTTTTTTAATATAGTTGTATGTTGAAAGGCTTGCTTCGATGTAAGTGTAGGATCTACTGGTCCAAGGCTGCACAAAAAGATAGGTTTTTTTGAAAGATACACTGGGACTTTGATTTATAAAGTACAGCCTGGGTTGTGATCTGAGTTAAATACTTATTTATGGTGCCCGTAGCGCTGTCATGCAGTGAGCCACGTAAGGAACAAACCTGAGCTCCAGCAAATGGACTCTTAGGTCGAGATCTAAGCCAGGTAGCAGCCAGTACTTGCTGGAAGTGGAATTCGCTCTGCATCAGAGGAATCTGGAGGCCCCAGGAGATGGTCACTAAGCATCTCCAACACTATTTGGTACCTGTCAAAGGCAGAACTGAGGTACATGGGCATGAAGTACTTGTTGTGTCCATGTCATCTAATGGTGATCTGCTTGCTGGTAGGATATGTCTTGTGTGTAGAGTGTGACAGGACATCTGAAAACATAAAAAGACAAGTGAAAACAAAATATATTGACATTTTGCTTGGGTAATTTCTACTAGGCTTCTGAGTATGTCTTATTTTACATGAATTCAGAGTTTTACAGAGGCTGGAAATAGGAAATTCCTATGCAAGTCATTACAGATATTCCTCTACAAATTACTGAATAAAACTGTCTGATAGATGGAAATAACTCTGAAGAAAATGTTTCTGATATTACTGTATCTTATCAAAATGTTAGAAAACTCAGGAAATCTCTTTGGTAGGGCAGTTTGCATGACAGCCAGCAGAGGTGAAGTGAAAGGCCTTTTAGAATCAGGTTTTGCCCTTGTTGTTCATGTGTACTTGTGATACAGAAAGGCTTTTTCTTTTTTAGATGACATAAATCAGCAGCTCTTGTGTCTCTATTGCCTCAAGTGATTGGATCATTTGAGGATCTGGATTGAAATTTTTATTCCATCTAAAAGCTTATTTTGCATGTTCTATACATTTAGAGTAAATTATTTTAAAATCACTTTCCATAGTGGCCTAGGATATGGCTTATGGGGACAAGAATCTAGCCCTGCTACAGTCAGCCAAGCAAGTCAAGCCAAGCCAAGTATGGGGCTGCCTGGAGCCCATTTYTGTAGTGCACATTGGCTAGCAAACATTGAGAGTATTCCAGTTCTATTTAGGTATTTTTACACTTCTCACATTTGAAAGCAAAGAACTGAATTGTACTCAGCATTTCAAATATGCCTGTCTACATTGCTTTATTTTCCTGTAGCATTATAAATTACTGTAATATTAGGAGATTACTTGTAATCTGAGATATTTGTAGAGCTAGAAGTAAATATCTAACTGGCAGCCACGTAATTTCCCCTTAGCTGTGCTGAAGACATTGAAAATCGCAAGATCGCAGTCCTTAGACATGCTACATGAACAGCGCTGCATCCTGCCAATGCTGGCATTGACACCAGTTGTTTCCTCTCCTTTCAGACAAATACAGACACAAGTGAGAAAAAGAAGGAAAGATTTCTTTGACAAGTTGCTCAAAATAAATGGGAGGTTTTGAAGGTGCTGAAAAATGTTCAGTGGCAGAAACAGACCTGAACCTGTGGTCAGAGAACAAGCAGTAGTGTCAAAAGTGCCCAGCAAAGCAGGAGAATGTAAGCAAGAAGTGTGCTATGGTTTTATACTGTGTAATATGTAACAGTGACACTTGTCACCTAGACACTTTGGGCATGTAGAAAAGCCTAGGCAGGTGGTAAGGATGTGTTACTGGGGGTAGGGTAATTTAGTGTGGTGCTACATTTACAGACAGGGAAAAAAATGAGGAGTTCTGCAGACCATCCCAAGTCCCATGTATGTGCCCTGGTGTCTCTGTACAACAGCTTTGTGGAAAAGAGACAATCCCTTTTCCTGGAGCCAGAGCGAAGTAGGTTTTTCTACATGAGGCAGAGAGCCACCTTGACCCCAAATCAAGTTTTCCTGATTTGTTAGGACATAAACCAGAACTGGGGAAAAAATATTACTGCTATTTTGACATAGTTGGTATTGTCTGGGTGTACTATTCTAATTTCCTATGGAAACATAGCATTCTTTTAGCTTGATATTATGCTGACAACTGAATTAGGGCATCCTGCCAGTCCAGCATGGAGTGATGCCAGTGTTAACCTTAGGTTCTTGTTTGTATCAGGTTCGTATTTGGATGTGGTGAATGAAAGACTTCAGTGGGATAATAGTAATAGCAGAGCTGCAGAAACAGCTCAGAGCTGGCAAGTCTGATGTAGTCCCAAATTAGCACTTGCAGGTGAGTTTCCTAGCCCTTGATGAAGTGTTTTACCTTGAGACCTTCTGTTCTATCATATGATTGCAGGAAAAAAAAGACGTGTGTATTATATATCTAAGGTGAAATGATTCATTGCACAGAGTATCCACCATCTTCCTTCCTTTCAGAGCTCTCTGTCAGGAGGTTTGGCAGGGAGGCAGCCTGGCTGGGTGAACGCAGTGGGGAGAGCGGCTCCCTGGCATCGCTCACGGGGCAGAAAGCTTCTCTGGGCTGCCACTTGTAAGGAAGCCCTTAAAGGTTCTTTTTTGGTGTGGTGGTTGTGTGTGGGTGGTG